TTTTTTAACAGTAAATTTCTTTGTCCCCACTGTGCCTCGTCTGCTGTTATGTATTTTTACATTAGGTTAAACGGAAAAAAAATTCTTTATCTTTTTACAAATAGATATCTACTGCGTACATTTTTAGTTATTAATGAAAGAAAATTGTTATATGATTGTGTACAATAAGGTACAAATCTCCTCTAATTAATATTTTCAATTTTCTAATATCTTTAATTTTATACCATATATATATACCATATAAAAAATATATTCGGACAATTACAATAATTTTATGGTAACAAGTCAAATATTTTTTAAATAAATATATAGGAATTTTGGCCATAATTTTGTATGATCCTACATGATAACAGATTTATTGGAATTTTTTCAATTCGCCGTATATTTTTGACATAATCTTTTACGTAACTATTTTTTAATGTAATAACTTTAAAGATTTATAACGAGAAATATTTACATACCTGAAATGCAATAAAGCTCGATAAAATACTAAAGATTAACAGTCGTTGAATTTGAGTGAACTTTGATTGATAATAAGGCCATAAACCAACCATGAGTAGAAGAGAACGAGTGGCACTAATACGCTGATACAAATCGGCATTCATTATCTCTTCGCGAGAGTTGAGGCGCGTTTAACCGTAGAGGAGTAGAAACAGTTTGCTTGGCCTTTCGTAATGATCCACCCATAAAATAGGCACTTTTTTCTAACGTTTTTCTTTAATTTCTTCTTAGTTTTATCTTTTCTTTCTAAACATTTATTCCACGAAAACTATCTAAATATGCGTGAATGCAGTGTAAAGAAACATAAGAACTTTGTGAGTCGAGTACTCTCGCAATATAACTTTAATAGGATAAGAGTCGGCAGTTAAGCAATTGCTTTCGCACCGAATGAAATTTAACGGATGTTTATTTTCTTTAGCCTGACAACCATGTAGTAATTTTTGGATCGAAGACCGCGCAAGCGTAGTCGCCCTTTTTCAGCTTCGTCGTCTCGCGTGCCGCAGTATGGTGTGTACATTCGTCAAGTGCACATGTTCGTTCGTGTTGAAAAGGACGTTGCTCCGTCGAATGTGTTTTATCGTGTGTTATGACGTGGGGAACACTTTATATAAAATGTAAAATATAATGCGCGTTGCTTACGCATTTTTAATATTCGTTAATAAATGTCACTCTCAAAATTGTAATAACGTAGAAAACGTTAAAATACGAATACTTTCAAATATTTCTGACATTTCAAACATTTCAAACGTATCTGTTACGTTTCTTGTGAAGTGTTGGCAGTTTTCACGAAATAAATTGTTCTAGAATGACGCTTTAACTATTTTCTCTAATAGAAACTCTGACGTTATATTCATTTCATCGTTACTTTACGTAAGATATTAACGACGAAGAGTATCGGCGTATCTGAAATATAATGAAACTCGTCGTGATAGCTGTAACAAGGATTATTTGAAATGGAATGAGTCTTAATCATTGGTAAGGCTATAAGTCAATTATGAGCAAAAGAATTCGATTGAGACCAAAGTGCTGAAACTTGATACAATTCATCTTTTCGTGAGCATCGGGACGCATCTGACCGTGAGAACGTTCGAAAAATGTCGCGTATTCTTCTCTTTCGCATTTTCTTTGATCAGCCCTTATCGAATATTTTTGCAACTTCCCTTTTGGTGCGCGGATTTCTCTTTAACCGCGAAATATCTAATGACACATTATGATAGAAACGCGAAAGGCGGTAATGAATTATCACTATCGCGATGAAACTCGGAACACTCGTAATTTAATTCGCCAGGGAAACTTTGAACTCGTTGGATAAAAGTCGTTGACTCGTTGATTTAACAGTTTTTTGTTTGAAACAACAACCGCGCAAACGCAATCGGCCTTCTTCATCGTCGCGGGTTTCCGCGTCTCATTATAGAGTATGCATTCGTGAAGTACATACCTCGAACTGCGAACAGAAATGGCGTTTGATCGATTTTACTGTTGTATAACTTATGGAAACCGGTGAACTAGAGGAGCTTGTTTGAATCTTTGAGAACAAAGAGCGATTTTCAAATTTAACATTCCAGTGCCGCGTTAAAACACAAAAATAATCCGTCTTAATATGCTTTGCTGTGGACAGTAAGATTGTCTGTAATTTTTTAGATGAATTTGTGAACTTTTTTTGACAGTAGCAAAATTCTTCTCTTGGACAGGATTACAAATTACTATTCTGCTACCATGTGTCGCTTAGGAAGTAGTTTAAACACATTTTTTATAATAAAGTTAGAAGCATATCAAGTGGTCACTATCGCAAGCCACTACTTACGAATTTGCGAAGTAATCGGTTTTGAGAGGAGCCGAGGTGATAGTATAAAAAGATATGTTTTATCAATTATATTTTTTACAATATCAACTGATTGTCTCGATAAAAATATATTTGGACTTACATTTTATTTATTTTATATGATCAAGGCAAGTGCTACATTGATTTCAACCTTGAAATGAATTAAAAGTTTTTCGAAATATTAGATACTTCATCACCGTAGCTTAACAGCATTCATTTTGCCTAAAGTTAAATATTTTATTTGTTGAAACATGAAAGATATTAACAAACTAATTTTGTCTTTGAAATGTATTAGCACCAAATTAAAATTACATTAAAAATTTTTTTCTTCCACGCTATACATTTTACTAGAAGATCAGTTGGATACAGTTGCAGGGATACAAGCTATCCCTATATCTCTCTACTATTTTTTATATATATACAGGGTGTTTTTTTTAACTTGAATCTGCTAAATATCTCGAAAAATAAGCATTGTACGACAAAAATGTCCCAAATAAACCCTCAATAGTTTCGAGGGCGCAATTCAATCCCATAAAAGTTATCCACCTCCCGCCCTGGGGATGGGGTGGGGGGTAACTTTGAAATCTTAAATGGGAACCTCTACTTTTTATTACAGATTTGGATTCTACATCCAGAAACACGTAACTTTTGTCTGAACTTTTTTTTTCTATTTCTAATAGATGGCGCTGCATTCGGCGAAAATTGGGTAACCTTCGTTTTCTTCAAAGGGAATCCCCTATAATGACGCTACGTCGAAGAAAAGTAACTTTTGTCGAAAACATGTTTTTTCGAATCATCGTAAATATCTACGATAATTTTTTATCCGTTTTATCTAAAAAATGAAAATAAAAGTTACAATCTCTAATGGCCTTGACCTTTACAAATGTTATACAAATGATGATGTTCAAAGAGGTTTTAGTCATCATTTCGACGTGGTCATTTCTAAATGGTCCACTCACGATCTTTCAAAATTTAGTGTTAAATGGATAAAAAATTATCGTAGATATTTACGATAATTCGAAAAAACATGTTTCCGACAAAAGTTACTTTTCTTTGACGTAGCGTTATTATAGGGGATTTTCTTTGAAGAAAACGAAGGTTATCCAATTTTCGTCGAATGCAGCGCCATCTATCAGAAATAGAAAAAAAAAGTTCAGACAAAAGTTACGTGTTTTTGGATGTAGAATCCGAATCTGTAATAAAAAGTAGGGGTTCCCATTTAAGATTTCAAAGTTACCCCCCACCCCATTCCCAGGGCGGGAGGTGGATAACTTTTATGGGATTGAATTGCGCCCTCCAAACTATTGAGGGTTTATTTGGGACATTTTTGTCGTACAATGCTTATTTTTCGAGATATTTAGCAGTCTCAAGTTAAAAAAAACACCCTGTATATATATAAAAAATAGTAGAGAGATATAGGGATAGCTTGTATCCCTGCAACTGTATCCAACTGATCTTCTAGTAAAATGTATAGCGTGGAAGAAAAAAATTTTTAATGTAATTTTAATTTGGTGCTAATACATTTCAAAGACAAAATTAGTTTGTTAATATCTTTCATGTTTCAACAAATAAAATATTTAACTTTAGGCAAAATGAATGCTGTTAAGCTACGGTGATGAAGTATCTAATATTTCGAAAAACTTTTAATTCATTTCAAGGTTGAAATCAATGTAGCACTTGCCTTGATCATATAAAATAAATAAAATGTAAGTCCAAATATATTTTTATCGAGACAATCAGTTGATATTGTAAAAAATATAATTGATAAAACATATCTTTTTATACTATCACCTCGGCTCCTCTCAAAACCGATTACTTCGCAAATTCGTAAGTAGTGGCTTGCGATAGTGACCACTTGATATGCTTCTAACTTTATTATAAAAAATGTGTTTAAACTACTTCCTAAGCGACACATGGTAGCAGAATAGTAATTTGTAATCCTGTCCAAGAGAAGAATTTTGCTACTGTCAAAAAAAGTTCACAAATTCATCTAAAAAATTACAGACAATCTTACTGTCCACAGCAAAGCATATTAAGACGGATTATTTTTGTGTTTTAACGCGGCACTGGAATGTTAAATTTGAAAATCGCTCTTTGTTCTCGAAGATTCAAACAAGCTCCTCTAGTTCACCGGTTTCCATAAGTTATACAACAGTAAAATCGATCAAACGCCATTTCTGTTCGCAGTTCGAGGTATGTACTTCACGAATGCATACTCTATAATGAGACGCGGAAACCCGCGACGATGAAGAAGGCCGATTGCGTTTGCGCGGTTGTTGTTTCAAACAAAAAACTGTTAAATCAACGAGTCAACGACTTTTATCCAACGAGTTCAAAGTTTCCCTGGCGAATTAAATTACGAGT